ATAGTCTCTTTGTAAGGTCGGTTGTTTTGTGTTTGGAAAAATGAACCGAAGAACAACTAACTCTCTTGTCTAAATAAAAAGAAAAAGAATTTGGAAGGCTGTAAAAATTTGGTTAAGGTGATCAGAGTGTTACTAATTATGGGTACTTTATTGCTTCACAAATAGACAAAAAAAAAATTTGAGCTGAAAATGATTGACAAAGTTTTTTTGTCTATTCTTCTCTTAGATAATCGGTTAGAAGTGAATTTAGGAAGAAAAACGGAGAGAGAAGGAAAGAAAGAATAAGTGGAAAAATAGTTATCAACTGAAATATGCAAGAGTGGAAATTATCACAGTAAGGGTTATGGTTTACGATTAGGCATTAGCTGCCGAGATGACGGTTATCACTGTTGTAATTAAAGAGGCAACCAGAGGACAACAACAGAGGAACCAAAAGGGTTTTTTTCTATCGAGCAGATAAGACTTATTCTAGTATTTTTATGTTCGTTTATTTGTCTGTTTTGCTTGTTCGTTTGTTCGTTCATTCAGTCATTCCTCCGTCTGTTCAGTATAATTGATAATAAAAATTTGGGTTACGTTATTGTTCTTAAGTGCTGCTGTCATATTCCGTGCCTTTTTATTTTTCTGCCTTCTTTAAAATGAAAAACTTATTTGGATTATTCAGTCTTTGTTGAGTCAAAAAATGAAATGCAACAATTTTCTTCCTTTTTTTTTTTTTTTTTTCACTTTGCATTGTTTTATTTTGGATGCGGCAAAAAAAAAGAGAATGAAGAGAAGAAAAGTGGTTTAATTGAAATTTTCAGGTCTTTTGGGTGTATATTTATGTGAAGGTGTGTGTTGTTGATCACTGCCAATTTTGTTTAACATTAGTATTTTTTTCTTTTACTTTTAGTTTTTTTCAAAAACACTTCTATTTGCTAAACCATTTACTCTTCCTAAATTGTTAACCTGAAAAAGAACAACCAGAATAAAAAAAGACAAATTGTTCATCTCTTTTTTTTTTTACTTTTTGTTTCGCTCAAAAAGTTGAAGAGGAAAGAGAGAAGAAAATTTTGAGAAGAATGGGATAATTTTTCCGTAACTGTTGCTGTGACCACAGCTTTCAAAATACAAAAAAGAAGATAGCTATTACTTATAAGTGTGTCAAGTTTTTGTTGGAACTGGATTACATCATTGTTATTGCATTTTTGAAGCAATGTCGATACTTATCACAGTTTTTGATTACTACTTCCACTTTGCTTTCTTTCTCGTTTATTTTTTTGGGAGGTGCGGATGGGTTTTTCATATCATTCAAAAAGTTGTGTTTTTTTTCCTTTTTTTTTTTCGTCATCTTCTGTTTTGCTTGCTTGTTTAGTTTAGTGTTAACATTGATACGATAAGAAAATGTGACAAGCGACAAAGAAGAAGGAAGGACAGGTTACTTATTGGTTAATAAAACACACAAACACACCGTTCAAGTAAGAAAACAACAGAAGGTTATGTCTATAGATGGAAAAAAAAAGAAAAAACCGAAGATATAAATGATCAAATAACGTCCCGGATGGTTTAGAAGCTATTCAGCGGTACAAATAAGTGTGTCAATGATAAGATAAACAACATAGATAATATGTTTTTGATGGATCAAATACTGGTGCTGGTGAGTACAACGGAATCGATGAATACTAAGCAAAAATAAATAGATTTTTTTTCCGTTCCTTTTATTGTTGCTGATTTTGACGATGACGGAGATGATGATGGTGTTACATACAGCAACTGCAATTGCTGTTGCTTTAATTTCATCCAGCATCGCTTGACTATGAAGAAAAACAAGATATCGAAATGATAGGAAATGAAAAACAAACGGAAGATTTTTGAGTGTAAGGGGACAATTTTCGTAAACTAATCTACGAATACTTCTTCCTCGTCGTCATCTTAGTACCCAGTTTTTGGTTTCCTGTCGTTGCTTCAGTTACCATTATTGTTGTTGCCGTCCTTACTGTGAACATCATCTTCGTTATCATCCTCATTAATATGATCATCCTTGTCACCATCATAATTGCTTTTTTCAAAATTTTAAACCGATGACCAGTATTCATAAGATCAACAGCATTATTCGGTTTCTTTTTGCTTCCTGTCACTGGATCATTTATTGTTTTCAACATTAGAAAAGACGATTGTTGAAGAGATCTTTGAAATCACAGTGTACTGATGTTTGTCCTGTTGACAACTAGCAGAGCAATCGCCTAAGTGCTCTTGTTGAATACAATTATCAATTTGGGCCAACACTCAAAAAAGTGTCCTATGACCAGCTGACTTGGTCTTATTGAAAATTTTGCTTTTTTTCTAGCTGGTTTCCTGGTCTCCAGTTACTGTGAATCAAGTTTAACGTTTATTGTTAACTATCCGACTTTTCAAGGAACAGCGTATATGAAAACCAGCACAAAACAAGTGATTATTTGTGACGCTTTTAATAGCATTGAAACTTTCAAGTTTTTGATTTCAGCTTTTTTTCTTTTACTGTCGACTATAAGAAACCAAAAAGAAAAAAGTTTCCTGTTCTTTCTTTTTTT